GGGGGCGGATAACAGGTCCAGGCTCAGATGCCTTGTGAACACTCAATAAAGATGAGTTCTAAGTGTGGTCACCAGCTTTGGCCCCTTGGTGACAGCGGCCTGGCGACAGCAAGCCAAGGACAGTGAAGAATGGAAATTGGTGAGCACAGCCACTCCTTTAGGAGCTATGGCCGCACTGGAGTGGAGACTATCAGCATCAGGGCTAAGGGAGCAGGGTGATAGACTTCTAAGATATGAAAGACATGACCGCAGATAATTGATGGGGAGAAGTAAGAATGATAACAGCAAACGTATAGGCCCTTACTTCTACCAGTCGCTATTCTACAAGTCTTAAACCCAAGCCACCCCATTTCACAGATGGGGAAACTGAGTCACCAGGCAACTGAGTAACATACCCAAGATCTCTGCTGATGAGTCGCAGAGCTGTCACCTGGTCTTAAGTGAGCCGGCTCGGGAGCAAGCAGCTCAGTGGTCAAGGGAGGTGGAAGGGGATAGAGGTCAAGGTGTGGTGTGTGAAGAACGCTTGAAGGGATTTGTCAGGTAAGGAGTAAAAGTCCTGCCTAGTGACTCTTGGAGAACAGGTTCCATTCAGCCCCCTCAAAGCTGGCAACCCTGGATCAGGACACACACACACACACACATTTTGATCAGTACAGGAAGGTCAGACTGACCTACAGAATGCTGCCTAGGAGAGGTTGAACTGATGAGCTGAAGCTGGAGAGAGAATGAAATGCACACCGCAGGGATTGATGGGTAAGGGCTGGGCAGAGGAGCCACAGGTGGGCTGAGAACCAAAGAGGAGTATGGTGGAGTGATGGCTGGAAGGATGGAAGGTAGGGGGCAGAGAAGCATCCTCTGTTCTTTCAGCTGCTTCAGTGTCTCCAGCTCCTCCCTCATTAAAGCTGCCCACCTGACATGGCCTTCAGTCATGCCATTGTCCTTCTCCAAGAATCTCATGGCAAGGACGTCCACTTTTACCACTCCTACAGGAGATCCAATGAGAAAAGAAAATGAAATAAAGCTGTACAGTTTGGAACGGAAGAAGGGAAAGTATCCTCATTCATAGCTGGCATGATTATCTACGTTGATCATTCCAGAGAATCAACAAAAAAAGCTACTACAACTAATAAGTGAGTTTAGCAAGATTGTAGGACTCGAGTGATATACAAAAACCCATTATATTTTATAATAAATGGAACTTGAAATATATAGTTCTAAAGCTGTGCAATACTTAGACATACATTTAACAAATATATGTGAGATCTATAGACTAAAAACTATAGAGCACTGAAGAAAGACATCAACCAAGACTTAAACAGATGATAAGGTACCCAAAGTCTCAGTATTGTTTAAATGTCAGCTCTCCCAAAATGGTCTATAAGCTCAACTCAATACCAATGAAAACCTCAGAATTTTAAATAGAAATCAATATGCGAATTCTATAATTTATATGGAAAAGCAAAAGAATTGTAATAACCGAAAGAACTTTGGTGGAGTAAGCCAGGGGCTGAAAATACAAATGAAACCAACAGACACGACTAGTGGCTGCTGGAAAGACCCAGATCAAAGCAAACAAAGCTTATCAATGCCCCACTTGGTGAGGATGCAGATCCATTGCTGTTCAGTCGATTCCCACGCCTAGAGAACCTACAGGACGGAGGAGAACTGCCCCAGAGGGTTTCCAAAGCTGTCGCCTCTTTCTCCCGTGGTGGGTTCACACTCCCAGGTAAGGATTGAGCACTTAACCGTTGCACCAACTTTGAGGATGGCAGAGCAACTGGAGTTCCCACACTGGTGGGAAAGCAAACGCATACAGCCTATTTGGAAGATAATTTGTTGGTTTCATACAAAATTAAACACATTTATCAGATGATGCAGCAATGCCAGATTTAGGCATTTACCCAAGAGAAATGCAAACTTACACTCACAGGCTTGTTAAAAAAAAAAGTTGCCATTGAGTTGATTTGATTTCCACTTGTTTCAGGGTAGAGCAGTAGAGTGTTTCCAATAGCTGGAATTGTTTAGAAGTACATCACCAGGACTTAGAAACTGCCAAATGTGCTGACTGCCAGGGCCACCCAGGGACTCCTCCTTCCCATGCCTGCACACGGGCGTTTACACAGGCTTGGCTGATATTGTCAACACAAACTGTGTGCAACCCAGACATCCTTCCAAGGGTGAGTGTGCACACAAGGTGTGGGGCATCCATCTAGCTCAGAACTCTTCAGCAATACAAAGGTATGGCCTGCCTGACACATGACAACAAGGTGAGTCTCTTTCCAGTGGGTTGGAAAGACCAACCCCTGGAGGAGATCACACTTGGTCAAGTAGCCGGGCATTGAACCCCGAGACGCGCTGTGAGTTGGAACCGACTGGAGGACACTTCACAACAAGTGAAGGAAGCCAGACTCAAACAAGGACAATGGTATTTAGATGATGTTCTGGAAAAGGGAAACCGGCAGGGCCAGGAAAGAAGTCCGTGGTTGCCAGAGAAGGCAGGGGAGGGTTAGGAATGGACAGCTGGACCAGAGAGGATTTTCTGAGATGGTGAATTGGGTCTAAATCTTGATCATGAGGGTTTGTCAAAACTCATAGAACTCCTTCGTGAAAGGAGGGATGTTACTGGATGCACATTATACCTCAATAAACATGGCAATAAAATCCTACCGTGGCTCTTGGGTTCCCATTGGGCTGATAATAAATTGTTTACCTGCCTTTCAGGGCCTTTCTAACTTGGCTAACCCTGAGCAGCCAACCTGATTTCCCACCCACCTTAAGTCTTTCCTCACTGCCCCATCAATTTCCAGGCTTCTCGGCCTCTTTGCAAGCTGTGTCCGTCCCCTCTATCTGTCATCTGCCCCTCCAAGCCCCCTAACCCCCCACTCAACCCCGAACCCTAGGTCCTCACGGAACTCTGCTCCTTCTAGAATTGTTTGCCCCTCTCTCCAAGTGCTCACAGGTGTCTGGGTGGCATTCTGACATCACGTTCCCGAGTACAGCGGGAAGCTTTAGTCACCACACATGTGGTCTGGCAGAAGGGAGCCAATATCTCTAATGAATACAGATGCCAAAATCTTCAATAGAACACTAGCCAACAGATTCAATGGAGCATCAACCACCCTCCCACACACACACACAATATATTGCAATTAAGTGGGATTTATGCTAAATATACAAGAATGGTTTACTATTAGAAAGGCAATCAATGTAATTCATCACATACTAAAAGAGAACCATATGATTATATCAATGAATTGAGAAAAAACATTGAACAAAATTCAACATCCATTCCTGATAAAAACACTCCACAAAATAGGTCTAGAAGGGAAATTTCTTAACATAATAAAATCCATATGTGTGAAACCAGTAGTCTGCATCTTACTTAATGGAGAGAAATTAAAATCATTTCCTCCTTGAACCAGAACTAGGCAAGGTCGCCCTTTATCACCACTTTCATTTAATATAGTTCTGGAAGTTTCAGCTAAGCCATAAGACATCATATAAATAAAAATTTCTTTATTTGCAAATGACATAATCTTATATATAAAAGACCCCAGAGAGTCAATTAAATAATCACTTGAACAAATTGAAAAATTTAGGAGTGTAGCAGGCTATAAGGTCAACACATACAAATCAGTTGGATTCTTGTATATTAAAGATAATAATACCTAAACAGATATTAAAAGAGCAATACAATTTATAATAACCATACAAAAGATAAATAAGGATAAATCTTACTAGAGAAAAGACTCAGAGAAAATACAGAGAAAACTACAAAATACGCCTTCAAGAAACTGAGAAGAACTTATACAATGGAGCAAGTTATCATGTTCCTGGATAGGCAGATTGAATATTGTGAACATGTCAGTATTACCAAAAATTACTTTACAAATACAATACAATTCCCATCCAAATCCCATCACAATTTTTTAAAGAAATGGAAAAATTAATTACCAACTTTATATAGAAAGGAAGGAAACAGGATAAATAGACACTATTAAAAAATAAAAACAATATAGGAAGTCTTTCATTCCCAGATCTTAAAACCTACTATGTAGCCATGGCAATCAAAACAGCCTGGTATTGGTACAGTGATAGATATGAAGACTAATGGATTACAATTAAAAACCCAGAGATACCACCAAGTACCTATAGGCATCTAATTTTTAATAAAGAAAAAAAACACATTAACTGGGCAAGAGACAGCCTTTTCAACAAATGGTACTAGAAAACTGGATCTTCACCTGCAAAAGACTGAAACAAGACCCATACCTCACACTATGTACAAAAACAAACTCAAGAGAGACTAAAGACCTATATATAAATCATACTATTACTAAGATCAACAATGAAAAAATAGGGACAAACATAAAGACCCTAACACAGTAGAACCCCGGTACTCGACCGCATCAGTACTCGACATAATCAGATTTCGGCGTTAAATGTCAAGAAAATATTGCATCGGAGCTCAAACAAAACATTGGAATCCAAACTGACACACATGATTTTTGTAAACAAAAGCAGTTCTTGTTTCCGTCACTGGGCGCTAGTTGGCATTGTGAGTACGTGTTGTTTAAACCTTTGCAGCTGTGTTCCAAGCGTTTTGCTATAATTTTTTTAGTTTTTGTGGCTTTTTGTATGGTTTTAGATTTAAAAAATGGGTCCTAAGGGGGTTTTAAAAAAAGAATCATCATGATAAGAACTTGTTAACCGTATATTGTTGGTGATAATTTAGTAAACCCTTTTAGAAAACAGTTAAGGAAGTGCCAACAGCAGACCACCTAAGACAGATTTCTTTCTTTTTTTCTTTTTGAGAAAGTCAGCCAGGTCCTAGTGAAAAAAGGCAAAGAAGGAGAAAACTCCTGAAAAGCAGCAAGCGTTGATTTTATGGAAGGGGATTCCCCTTCCAAACAAGGACTCTTTCCATCCCTCCTCTCCACAACTGTGTCCACAGATGCAGATCCTCATCAATCTCAAGGTATGGGTCATACTGTAGTTGTTAAAAACTTGTTTAATGTTGTTTTTCTTATTTAAATTATATTATTTAACTCTGAACTTATTTACTTTGAAAATTCTGTGTAATGTTTTGTTTAAAAAGGCAAGATTAGGGTAAAGACCTGGTGATTCAGAATGGATTCATCCATTTTCAGTTATTTCTTATGGGAAAACTTTATTCGGAATTCAACTACATCGCATCTGGATGCTCCTTCTAGAACGGATTAGCGTCGCCGTCTGGGGTTCTACTGTACAAGGCAGAAACACACTACCAAACATAATGAAAATATCTACACTGTAGAAGGCAAAATAAAGAACTGGGACCTACTAAAGAAAGGACATTTATGCAAATGAACAGTTTTACCGAAAGAGTCAACAGAGAACCCACAGATTGGGAAAAAATATCCAGTAGTAATAAATCAGATAAAGGCTAATTTCCCAAATCTATAGAAATCGACATCTTGACAAGAATAATACAAATAATCCACTAAGAAAATGAGCACAAAATGTGATTAGATAATTTATCAAAGACGACATACATACAGCCAACAACAACTTGGAGAAATGTTCGCGATCATTAGCAATGAGAGAAATACAAATTAAAACAACATTGAAATATCACCTCACACCGACACTTTTGGCAAGATTCAATAAAACAACATAACAAATGCTGGAGAGGATGTGGAGAGGTAAGAACGCTTTCACATCGCTGGGGAGACTGTAGAATTGTACCAGCATTATGGAAATTAGAATAGCACTTCCTTCAACAAATACAAATCCAACTCTCAAGACCCAGCCATCTCTCTACTGGATATGTACCCTAAGGAAATTAAGACTATAACACAGACAGACATAGGTACACCTATGCTCATTGAAGGCATTTCCACAATAGCAAAAACATGTAAACAACAACAAAAACCCAAACATAGAGGAATAAACAAGCCTCTGGTACATTCAAACTAGAATTTTATGCACCCATAAAAAACACTGATACTGTTTTACACACAGCAAGACATGGACAAAACCAGAGACCACTATGTTTAGCAAAGTCAGGCAATCTTACAAAGATACGTATTTAATATCACCATTGTTATAATGAAAAACAGAAAAAGCAATGGGGTTGATACGCCAGGAGACAAGACTTTGATGACCCCAAAGAGGCCAGGGACTGGGGGGGGGAGGAGGGGGGGACAGGGAGAGGGGAGGCATGGGGTGGAGACACACACACAAAAAGGAGGGTTTAACACAAGGATAATAATGAAATTAAAATTGCTTCATGAAAACACACGCACAAAACTCTCCCGACCCTTCCCCCTCTGACCTACATACTGGCCTGAACGGCTGCGAGAGGAGGAAAGGTTGTCTAGAAAAACCGATGGCGACATAGGTGCAAATATGCCTGATCCAATCATCGAAGTATGGATGGTCATAAGAGTTGGAAGAGCCCCCAATCACATGATCTTTTAACAAATAAAACGAAAATAATGCGTGTACAAATGGTAATTGTACATGGTAATGTATGTACAAATATGCTTGATACAAGTGATGTATGGATTGTAATAAGAGCGTATGAGCCCCTAATAAAATGATCTTTTAATAAATAAAAAAAAAGAAACTAATGATGGCAATGTATTTACAAATATGTTTGATACAATCGATGTCTAGATTGTAATAAGGGCTGTAAGAGCCCCCAATAAAATGATCTTTTAATAAATAAGTAAATAAGAAACTAATGATGGCAACATATGGACAAATAGGCCTGGTACAACTGATGTATGGAGGCCCGCCCTCCGCCTACCTTGCCCTCGTAGGAGCGCTCGGCGGCGCTCACCGACAGCGCCTGGATCAGCAGCAGCAGCAGCAGCGGCACCAGGAAGCCCGTGGCCGGAACGGCCACCACGATGCTGCGCGCAGGTTAAGGAGCCGCGCCGTCCTCGCACCCGGCCCGCAGCCACCCACCGGCCTCCGCCTGCGCCTCCACGGCCCGCGCGCCCGCCCATCCGGTCCCCGGTCCGCCTCGCCCTCATCTCCCCCACCTCCCCGGCCCCACCCAGTCCCACAAGGGTCCTGCCCAGGGGCTCTTCTCCCAGGCCCCGCCCACTACTGACCCCGCCCCTGGGACACCTCTCTTGGTCCCGCCCCCGTCTCACAGGTCTCCAGGTCCCTGGCAGATACGCGACAGCCTTGTCCATGGAGAAGGGCAGGTGGGTCGTGTGCACCAGGTAGACTAGGCAGGTGACCAGCACAGCACCCGAGTAGAGGCAGAGGGACAGCAGGAGGAGCATGAAGAGGCGGAAGTTGCGGTGACCGATGCAATTATTGACCCACTTGCAATGGTGGTCAAAGTCCTGGCGGAGAGAGAGAAAGGAGACCAGACCCGGAGGACCATCCAATGCCCCCACTCCCCCCAAAGTAAACCCGCTGCCTCTTGACTTGCTCAGCGACCATACAGGACAGAACAGAACGGCCCCACTGGGATCCCATGGCTGAAATCTTTCTGGAAGCGACTGCCACATCGGCCTGCGGTCCCGCCGGTGGTGCGTTCGAACCCAAGCTCTCTTGGTCAACAGCCAAGCTCTTTAACCATCAGTGCTCCTAGACTAGCTACATCAACTCTGCCCAGGTCCCCACCTACCGGCTCCCACCACCAAGAGGGAAACTGAGGCTGCCAATTTCCTAGGTAGAGCTTGGTTAGGGGTCCCGTGGCTCACAAGATCGGCTTTTAAAAAAACATTTCCACCGTTTTATTGGCATATAATTCACATAGCATACAATTCAATAGTTCAACCGCATCCAGAAGAGTTGTAGAGCAATGTCATTTTTGTACTCATTGTTCTTAGCTCCCCGTCTCCCCGGCTGTGCCCTGAGGAACTATTAATCCAATTACTGTGGATTTCATATATAGAAAAACACAAATTTTGAAAACTAACAATAACTAAAACAGATGAAAACCTCAATTGAAAAGCAAACAGAAAATATTAAAAACTAGAACAAATTTTAAATGGATCAAAGGGAGGTCAAGTGAGAGAAGGTGTTGAGTTTTAACCTAACTGCACCTGCAATAATCCACTTTCCAATGCCCTCAGCATAATACCAAGGCTATTCACATCCCTGGTCTGTGGTCATAGGGAATTCACTAGCGGTTTAAACCACATGTATTTCCCCTTGTTGTTTTTTTACCTAAGAGGACTTTAAAATGGGTCAAAAGGGAGATCAGATGATAAGATATTACATTTTAACCTAACTAACCTGCCATCGTCGACTTTACAAGGCTCTCTGTCTGATAACAGAGCTATTCATGTCCCTGGACTATGGCCAGAGGGGATTCACCAGAGGCTTGATCCAAGTAGGGACCTTCAGAATGGATTTGGTGCTTCCACTGTCATCTAGCGCCTTCTGCAAACCAGGTGTTTACAATATAAACCCTGACACCATTCCTTCCTTTGGATTTGGAGGCAAGCTTGTCTGGCTTCTATGAGCAACAGCTGGCTGTAACTCTGCGCAGATTAGAGGGGAGGATAACACAGCCAACCTCCCAGGGTGGTAAGGCCAGTGAGATAGTGCACTTATAAACTTTTGAGGACTATGACACAGAGACCCTCCAACCTGGACCTCAGAGGACAGGCGGCCATGGTCCCTGAAGGGCCTTGGGTATCAATAGTTAGGGAGCCTGTGGGCCAGTATAGATGTGGGTGCCCCTGTGGGCAAGGCCAGCCTTCCAGGACATGTGCACAGATGACCCAGCGCAGCTGTGTATCACTGCCGCCCTGGCCTCTAGCAGTCCCTAGATGATTCCACAGCCTCCCGGGACTCCTGAGCTGGCTGGGGAGTGTTGGGCAGGAGAGGGGCTGCTCACCTCCACACAGACATTGCACCAGGGGCAGTGGTAGGTTCGGGGCGGGCGGTGGAAGCAGCACTTTCTGCACCACTGAAGGCGGAAGGCTCGTTGGTTCACCCATACCACATGCACCATCAAGGGGCCCTGATCGTCAGAGCCTGGAGGGAGGACAGGGTTGGGGAGAAGTGGGGGGAGTTATCCACTGGCCACCAAGGAGACAGGACAGCCACACAAGCAACACCACAGGGCACAGGAAGCGTGGGGAGGAGGTGGGCAGCGTAATCTCTAGCTCCGCTGAGTAAGGCAGCCCTGCTCAGAAGGTGGCAGGCAGAGGGAGGCGGCCTCTGGGCCCTCTGCTGCTTTGAGAAGTGGGCAGGCTCGGGGACAGAACAGAGGGTGGCTGCACAGAACTGCCTCCCCCATCCCCAGTAGCCTCTCCAAAGCAGCTATGGAAATTCCAGCATGCTTCTCTCCCCCTCCTCAGTGGCTTGGGGAATGACATGCCAGGAGCAGGGCTGGAACCGCAGGATGAGAGGTGGAGTGGCCGGAGGCCCAGGCCCGGAGGGGGGAGGAATGGTCCCTGCCAGGCCCCGCCTCCCAGGGCACCTAGGCCTCACCTCGATGCAAGATGCCAGGGTCTGAGAAGTTGAGTGAAACCAGACTGAAGAAAGTGAGGACAAAGAGGAAGCCCGTGAAGATGGGAAAGGTCCACTGGCCATCCTGCACCAGACACCTGCAACTGAGACCAGAGCCCGGCTCAGCCCTGATCTAGGGCCGCCAAGATCCCCCCTGATCCCCGAAAACCCACAGAAGACCAGCTCTCCATTCCCAGTCCGGCAGCAGATCGCTCGATAGAGGCCCCACGGAAAGTCACCCTTCTTAAGAGCCCTCTGCAGCTTCCCACATGGTACAACCGTCCCCACCTGGGGGCCTTTGCATAGTCTGTGCCCACTGCCCAGAATACACCCCCTCTGTGGCCTCTACCCTTACCCTCCGCCCCTTTCCTTTCCATAAGAAACCTGCCACAGCTGTGCTCAGACTCACGGGAATGCGAAGAAGAGGCCGCTGAGGAGAAGCAGCAGCATTACATTGAAGGCGGCAAACAGGCTCGGGACGATCCAGGGGAGTGGGGGCTGTGGTGGGGGTAGGGGCTCCTTCAAGAGCAGCATCACTGGGCTTCCCAGGCCCCCCCGGGAGACCAGGGCCACTCCAGGACTCCTCCCCCCCTGCTGGCTCCCAGAGCCCCATGGTCACAGCACCTCAGAAGCCACAGGCCAGGGGGAAGGACAGGAGGCCCAGTGTGATGTCATAGAAGCTGAGGAACATGGGGTGGGGTAGGGCTCGGTAGAACATTCTGGTCTGTTCTGGCTCCTTCCAGAGCCTTCCCTTCCAGCAGCAGCAGGCCTCCCCCTCTTCCGTGTGTTGGGCTCTGTGAGGCTCTGCCTCTGTGTGGGTAACTTTCTGGAGTACAGGGTCCAGGTCCTCATTCCTCCCATTCCCACAAAACCCCCCTTCCCGAGAGGAAGGCAGCACTCCATTAACGTTTCCCTGGTTCATGCCCAGGGTGGACTTCGTGACGCAGTTGTGGACATGAGAAGCACGTGAGAATGTTTCTAGAACAAGCTTTGCCTTCTAGATGAAAGGGAGAAAGACACCATTGGCACACCTCTGCCCCTTCTCCCCGTGTTGAATCTGGACTCGCTGCCCAAGGGGTGCCACCTTAACCAGCCAGATGGAGCTTGACGACAGAATTGCACTACTTGCCTCTGAGCTGCTTATTGTGTGAGAAAATTACTCAATTTTCTGTGTGGCATGACACGTTTGTCATTTGTTTTGGCCCCTGATCATCATTTGGAGGATGCTCCACATCAGACATACCAGGGACTATGTTCCCATTCCAATTGGCGCTGAAAAAAATGCCAGAAATTTGAGTTTCCATTCTCCCTTTCAACAGACACACAGGCCCATGGCTGGTCAAAGAATTCTGTGTCAATCTGTGTCTCAGTAGTTACCAGGTAAAAGAAATGGTCTTTATCTGGTGAACACGATACAGGTGACCTCTAGGTCTTTGGACTTGAGCCAGCAGCCTGTTGTCTGGCCTTTAACCTTGGGTTCAGCAGCCCTTCCAGCCTTTTGAGTCAGGAGATGCCGCCAACCTGACATCTAACCCACAGATTGGGACCTTGCTCACCTCTGCAACTGTGTGAGCCTTCCACATCTCCATCTCTATCTGTAGCTGCATCTGCGTCTATATTTGTATCTGTAAGAAACGATATGGAGATCTAGAGAGAGGAATATATAAATATAATACATACATATATAAGCGCCACTGGTTTTTCTTCTCTAGAAGACAGCGTAAGACATTCAGACTCCTAAAAGCTTAGCTTCCATCTGATTCTGCAGCTCTCACAACCATTCCAGGAGACACAGAGTATACTTTGATTAAACTCTCTTTTTCAGCCTACCCTGCTAGTGCCTTCTGTTGTTTCACTAGAGAACGCTGACAAGTCATTGCTTCCCCCGATCCCATGAAAGTTTCTGAGCATCTTCACTCCCCACAGGTGAATTAAGATGTCCCATCTCTGAACTTCCAGGTCACTTTCCTTGTACCTGTCGGATGCCCTCTATCTACCATGTACTTGAAAGAGCACATGCTGACAGCGTCTAGCAGAGACTTGGGCATGATGGTGATGGTGGGGTACAGCGGGATTCCCACCATGACTAGAGCAAAGGAGAACCTCCAAAGAGAAGGGCTGAAGAGGACGCCATTGAAGAAAGTGAAGCACCTTGATCAAGAGAGATCACGGCGCCTGGGAAGTCCCTGAGCTGGTGACAAAGAGGGTCAGTCAAGCCACGCATCCCAGGTTTCCCCCATTATCCGAAAGTTGTGTGTTCTCGTGAAACCAAAGTAAGCCAAAATGGCTTAAAGCGAAGATGACTCAATTACCATGAATTTATATGGGGGGAAAACTAAGCATTCCCAGACCTGAAAATCATAGCAAACAATACATCAAACCTAAATAACACTAGCCGGTCATGTTCACTGACAGTCCAAACGTGTGGCAGCTGGAGGTTGAAATGCTGACTGTGGCTCCTGGGGACATGCTCTCCTGCACGTGCAGCCCTGTGGAAAACCAGCGCGACAGTTCATCAGAATGCTAAACATTGAGTCCCCTTCTGGCTCAGCAATTCCACTATCGGGTACATACCCAAGAGAACTGAAAGATAGGTTCACCCAAAAACTGATACCCAAATGTTGATAGCGCATTACTCAAGACAGGTGAAAAATGGAAGCAACCCAAACGTTCACCAACTGATAAACAAAGATGGTTTGTACAGTAGAATATTATTCAAGCATGAAGAGGAATAAAGTACTGGTGATAATGCTGTTCTTGGCTTTGCACGCTGAAAGACTTCACGCCAAAGCCAGTTTTGTAATCCAAGTAGGTTTCTATGATGGACGGGACAAGTTTCAGGTTTTACAGTCTCAAAAGAGTTCACAAATGGGCACAAGCAACCTCGTGGAAAAGAGCACCCATGCAGGCAGATCTTGGGGGGACCCCAGGACACCAGAAGCCCAAGAACCCTAGAGGCTGACATCTTGTGGGCCAAGAGGCTGTGGACCCCAAGTAGACCCTCCCCCTCTCCTGCCTCTGATCAGGAGCAGGGTAAGAGAGGGAGGCCTTCCCACAGCCAGGATATTTCAAGCCTCTGGCTGGGGAGGTCTGGTTGATTGTATTGGTTGACCCCATTGGCTGGGTTGAGGCCACCTGGGTGATATTATAAGCCTGGGCCTAGTTTGGACTGCCCAGGTGTACCTCCCACCTGGCTCAGGGCCTTGAGTATGAGCATGCTCAGTTTGGACTCTTCATAGGCATCTAATGGTTGCCTGATTTCTTTTCAGCCTCCTCTAAGGGGGCCTTTGCAGATATGGGAGGGACAACCGCCCCCCTATCCCCCCATTCCTAAATCTAGCTACTTAACACTATCACATGTTTGGACCTTGAAAATAATATGCTAAGTGAAAAACCAGACACAAAAGGATATATATACATGAAGAACTCGTACATGGATCAAGAGGCAGTTGTGCAAACAAAAAGGGGAAATACTGTATGGCTTAAAATCCGGAAAGGTGTGCATCAGAGTTACGTCTTCTTACATCTTTTGCAATCCGTATGCTTAGTAAATCACCAGAGAGGCTAGCTTATATAAAGGAGAATGTAGCATCAGGATTGGAAGAAAGCTCATTAACAACCTGTTATATGCAGGTAACACACCCTTGCTTGCTCAAAGTGTGGAGGACTTGAAGCACTTGTTGTTAAAGATCAAGGATTGCATCCTTCAGTATGGATTATGATTCAATGTAAAGAAGACTAAAATCCTCACAACTGGACCAAGAGGTCCTTGAAAATAGTAATAGGTCATCATAAATGGAGAAAAGGTTGAAGTTGCCAGGGATTTTGACTTGCTTGTATCCACAATCAATGCTCACGGAAGCAGCACTCAAGAGATCAAACAAAGCACTGCGTTAGGTAAATCTGCTGCACAAGACCTCTGTGGTAGTTACATAATCTGGTGTCAATTGGAGGATTAAGAGTGAAGTGGTGGAGTCTCGCCTGTCAATCAAGTTATAGCCAATGAGACCTCTGTGTGGGCATGGCCTTCTTCTGAGGATTCTGGGAACTCCTGTATTCTCTCTCTCTCTCTCTCTCTCTCTCTCTCTCTCTCCTCATTCCCTTCGAGACAACCCTGTTGAGAAGACACATGGAGAGAGGCTGATGGATCCACAAGACTTCTGTGATCTTCCTGCATTCGGCATCATTGCATGTGTTGCATGAGTCTGAAGAGGACTTTATAGATTGGTATCAGACATATGGGCTAATATCAGACTTATAGACTTGATCTGGACTGGGCTGGGATGTTTTCTCAATATTCAATTGCTCTTGTAAATAAAGCTCTTATACACATATGAGTCTCCCTGGATTTGTTTCTCTAGTCTACCCGGACCAACACAGGAGCCTAGCCAAGTCACACTGACATAAAACATAACTACCACAATTCATTTGTATGAAATGTCCAGAATAAGAAAATCCCTAGAGACAGAGAGTAGATTAGTGGCTACCTGGGCATGGGGGAAGAGGAAGCTAGTAGGTAAGGGATTTCTTTGGGGAGGGCAATAAAATATTCTGGAATTAGATAGTAGTGATGATTGTTCAATACTTTGTGAACACACTAAGACCCAATTGGATACTTTAAAATAATTAAATTAGTGAATTTTGTTTTGTGACTAAAAGAAGAAAGAATAGCCTTTGAGTATCAAATCATTGAGGAGCCCTGAGGAAATTTGATTCAACTCCAGTTTTTGTTTTGTTTTTCCAAAAATGACCCTAGCCCTGAGCTTAGGTCTATTGTGTTGTTCTACAATTTTGTGGAGGAAAGTAGGCTAACAAACCTCAGTGTTACAGCTCGTAGCCTCTTGGTCTCCTAGTTCCAAAATGTCTAGAAAAATCTCTGATTAGCTGGCCTAGCTCATTTCCTCCTGCCTAGTCTTAGCTATGCCCTGGTCTAACCCATAGGCAATGGCACACTGTATAGAACACACTCAGGGGCTTTGAGTGGGGGGCTGAATTGCCCAGTCGTGCTAAGCCTTTCCTCTCACCACCACTCTGCCCTTTCTCACTCCCTCAGCCGAGGTCCACCTGAGAACTGCCTAATCTCTACGGGGTCTTCTGCTGCCCAGCTGAGGAAGCACTGAGTCTCTACCCAGCTGCCAATACCTGCCTGCTTTTCAGCTATCCCTTGACCCTCAATTCCGTCCTGCAGAATCTCTGGAGAACATCCTTAGCACCCGCTTATCTGCCCTAGGGGAGTCTAAAGTTCAGAGCTTTGGGCAATTAAGCTCAAGGCCTCTTACCAGGCTAGAGATGAATGACCCAGGGAGTGTTCCTATGGGAACTGGTTGGAGGGAGCTGAGTCAGACTGTCTTAGTCAAGGTTGGGTCGGGGCAATTGCCCTTTGGGGGTCAGTGCCCTTGCTTTCCTTTTGAGGCCCTCCCTCTGCCTCCAGAACCCAGTCCCCCGCCCCCTTCCCCTCACCCCCCTCTCAACTCCCCTTCTATTAGAGCTGGCAATCGGGTTCCTGGGGCTCGTGCTTCACTGCATTGTCCTGTTTCAAGAGTTGTAATTAAAGAGGACGGTACAGAGCAAGGAGAGGACAAGATTGGGAGATCTTCCTGGTACCACATCGGTAACCAGCTTGCGTCTCAAGACACCGCCTCTGCTTCCCCAGAACGGACGCTCTCTGCCCTCTAAGGGGTTCATTTCATAATCTAAAGCCTTCACCTCCAGGGCAGCAAACCCCCCCACCCAACCCTTCCTCCTCTTCACATTCCTCCCTGGATCTTCACCTGACCTGATTTCTTAACCTCACGGAGCCTTAGCTTCCTGACCTGCCAAATGGGAGAAAGGAAGTACTCAAGTCACGTAAGAATGTGTGTAAGGTTTACCTGAGACAATTCACCGTACTTCCTGCAGCCCTTGACATATCCTAAATGCTGAGAAGGCATTAGCAGTTGCTGGAATTCTATTTATTTCCATCAGTCATGTAACTAAATGCCAAGGAACACCTGCTATGTGTCAGGCCCTGGGCCCGGCGCAGAGGGGTTGTAGTGAACTGAATTCCGCCTCCGAGAGGTTGAAGCCGACTGAAGACAAGAAAAGCTACCGACCAGAGAAATCATTCATCAGCACACTCCTATCATTTGGCACCGTTTTGCAAAATCTGTCAGAGGGTTCAGAACTCTCGGTCTCGGTCTCGTACACACTCCTGCATCTCTGCGTCCAGGCTGCCCAGCGGTTTCACGCTGGCCTCTGATCCTCAAGGTTGGCTGTCCCGCAGAGAAAGACAGGGCTTTCCAGCTCCTGTCTGGAGTTACAGTCTCAGAAACCTACAGGAGCAGTTCCATCCCACCCTGCGTCAGCATCGACCAGGTGGAAATGAGTTTTCCTTTGGTTTTGTTTCGTTTGGGCTGCATCTTCAGGTCCAGCTGGTTGGCTAAAGCGGCCCATTCTCAAGGGCAGAGGGCTGGCCTTTAGGGACCTCCGCAGGGCCCCTCCCGGCGCCTCTTCCACGCCAAGCCAGAAAGCCCAGACTCGGGGGGCCTGGCCGGGAACTGGTCACCTTCACGGTCACCAGTGGAAGTCCTCGTGGGTTGGGAAGGCAGGGGGTGCGTGGGGTGGGGTGACGGAGGAGGACTTCGTCCCCAGCCTAAGCCCAGGCTGGAAGCATTTTCTCTTTGGTTCAGCCCT